CACCAGATTCCTTACCTACAGTCCCTCCAAGACAGAGGCAGCTGCCTGCATTTATCCACAGACTCTGACAATCTCCAGATTAGACTACAATATTGTATTGTATTTTAAGGCTGCCTTTGAAGACTGGGGTGAGGAACTCATGGTCTTCCAGATATTGTTGGACTCAAACTCCTATTGTCCCTAGCCAGGATAGCCAGGATAGTCGAGAGGGAGGGACAGGGAGATGAAGCACTGCAATATCAGGAGGGTCACAAATGCACATCCTGATCTAAAAAGATCAGAATTCAGAAAGCAAACTATTTAATTATCAAGCTTTACAGTCTTGTCTCTTCTAAAACTGACCTCTCTTTTAGAATGGAACAGGAAGATAATAAACACACACGCACACAAATGCAGCAACCAGTGCCCAAGGCTGGTTTTCATGCATATGTAGCTCTGACATTAAGCAGTCACCCTACACTGTACATTAGCATGCTGTGAATATTCCCAGCAGTGGGTCAAATCCTCCATGGTAACACTCTTCAGGGAGCTCTGGAAACTATTTAATTATTAAAATGAATAATTCCTACCAACACATTTAATTGGGAAATATTACATGTTCAGATGAGCCCTAATGGAACAGCTAAGAGAATCTAACAATGTAATAGCGTATGCTGTTTGAAGTTGAATTCTCGCAATATTTCTCGGCCAATAACATCATGCATTATTTATCTCCTCCCCTTTTCATTCTATCAGAGGGGCTGTATGAAGATGGAATCAGTGGAACCAAAGAGATAAAAATGCAAATCTGAGAATAACCCCTGGGGAGCCTGAACCAAAACACCCCCTTAGTTCACAATCTCTTTTCCTGTCCCCTGTCTCATAAGGAATGGTTTATTTCTGCAATAAAAACTAGAACTTGCACTTTATTCTCAACTGTGGGAGACCCATTCAGAAAGATCTGTGCAAGTAACCTATCAACTCAAGGTAGCTGCAGAGTTTCATGCTTAGCCAAGAGCAATAAAGAAATAGTACAACTGCACAGGATGTTGTGAATATGGGAATATGAATAATAATTGAAGGAGACACAATAGAAAGAGTGACAATGCAGAGACCTTTACCTGTACATTGAACCAAAAGAAACAGATTGTATTTATTCTATGGTAGCACTTTATGCAAACATGAGTTTGCTTATAGAAAAACACAATGACTATGAATGTGCAAGTTAATTCTCTATTTGTGAGTCATACAGGAAAATGTTTGCAGAAAACCACACGAAAACGCAGATGCAATTGCACTTGAAATCTCTAGTGGGTTTTAAATTACCACTTATCTTTTTCTTGTAGATAGTTCCTTATCTTAAAGTTGAAGAGAATATTTTTTTTTCATTTTAGAGTGTCAGTGCTTAATAGTAATAACTGCAATCATATTCCCTTATGTCTTCATATATACACACACATAAATTCATATATGCAAAAATCTGCTATCATTATAATAATAATAATAATTAATAATAAAAATTATTTATAACCCGCCCCTCTGCATAGCAATCGGGGCAGCTTACAACAAGTTAAAAATGCAACAGTTAAAACATTCCAAATTCCCACACCCTCCACCCACATCCCGCACCCCTTAAAACAGAATTAAACTTGATAGAATTAAAATTTCACAAATATAACTAATATAAAATAGGCAAATAACAGCAGCAGCAGAATGCCACAATTGGCGGAGAGATTAGAGGCAGAGTGGATCCAAGTATGCTTATCCCTTTGAGGAAGTTATTCTGGGAAGGCCTGCCGGAAGAGATCCGTCTTGACTGCTTTCTTGAAAGCAGTAAGTGTGGTATTAAGACGGATCTCCAGAATAACTTATGGTGTGACTGCTAGTTTCAGAATAAAATAAATGGAAGATATTAATCTTTAAGACTTCCAAAGTGCCACACAGACTATTACTCCCTATTAGATAATATTTGTGACATTTGCATTATCACCTATTCTCATCCATTACTGATCTGTAGTCTTTTGAAACAGTGGTTCTAATTGCTATTGTCTAGATTAAACTCTGCAAGAAAACAGGTAGGAAACCTCTCATCTTGTTATGAAAATACATACACTTCTTTAAGTGCTGATAGACATATTTTCTGAGAAAGAAAAAAAATATTAAAAAATCCTGGAGAACTGCTTCTTATATGCACATGAAAGGGAATTAATTGCAGGTAGAGATCATCTGATAGTCCTGATGATGAATCTGTACTCAAGACAAGAAGCTACTGTCAGAACAGAACACATAGAAACCGATTAGTTCCCAATTGGCAAAGGGGTCAGACAAGGCTGCATCCTATCACCCTACCTATTCAACTTATATGAAGAACATATTGTAAGGAATGCAGGCTTGGACTCGGAAGAGGGAGGAGTGAAAATAGGAGGAAGAAATATCAACAATCTAAGATATGCTGACGAGAACATAATATTAGCAGAAAACCTGCCAGACCTGGAACAACTACTTAGGGCCATTGCAGACTGGCTGTCCATGGGATCCTCAGCACTCTTCTCCAGCACCACATCTCAAATGAGTTGATTCTCCTCCTATTTTCTCTCTTAACTGTCCAGCTCTCACATCCATCAATGGTAATAGGGAATACAATGGCTTGTATGATTCTGACTTTTGTGCTGCATTGTATGTCTTTGCATTTTAGGATCTTTTCTAGTTCTTTTATAGCCCCATTCTTAATCTTCTCCTGATTTCCTGGATGCAGACTCTGTTCCAATCAATGTTTGATCCCAGATATGAGATTTCCTCATTGTCTAGTTTGAATCAGTGTAAGTTCTCTGTTGTCATTATTTTTGTTTTCTTTATGTTCAACAGAAAGCCCGCCTTTGCACTTCCTTCTTTGATCTTCCTTAGGGCCGATGCAGACTGGCCATTTGGGATGGCAGAGAGCCGCCCCGGGAAGCAAAGCAAAAGCAAAGCAGCTTCATTTATATACTGCTTCATATCGCACTATGGGATATCTAAGCTCATTGCCCCCCAACAGTTGGGTACTCATTTTAGCGACCTCAGAAGGATGCAGGCCTGAGTCTAGCCTGAGCCCTGGCTAGTATTGAACTCGCAACCTTGTGGTTTATGAGTGAGTGGCTGCAGTACAGTGGTGGATCAGGGCCATGGCAACCCCATGCCACAGACCCGATCCTCCTTTTTGCCACCCCGAAAAGAGTGGCAAAATGCCGCTCCTTTTAGGGGCAGCTAAAGGCCACCCTAAGAGCCAGTGCTGCAGCTCTTCCACGCCCTTTCAGTGCAACGTATTTAAATGCTGCACCGGGAGGGTGTCCTGATGCCGCACACTGTGCATACAGCCGCACAGCATCAGGACGGCGTCAGGGTAGATTTTGTTCCTCTATCCTTGGTTATCTTTCTGTCCTGACTTCTAGTTTGCTACTCAGCACTGCCTTTGGGTTTGTCCTTTTATCCTGACTTATCCTTCATATCATATTCCATAGCTCCAGTCCTGTCTCCTGGCAAACACAACTATAGCAGGCCCTTGGTATCGGCTGTTCTAGACCCCTTGTGGATACCAAAATCCATTGCTGCTTAAATCCCATTAATTACAATTACACAGTAAAAT